TCCTATCTATCGTCTAACTCTCTCTATATATCTATCTTATACTCTCTCTCTCTCTCATACTATTATCTTATTTTTTCTATTTTTCCTATTTATTTTTATTATTATTTACTCCATAAAACATATGAAACTATATGTTATGCAATTATTTATTCCCATCAATTTAATTGAAAATTTTTATTTATCTAATGTATTTTGTCACTTGTTTCTTGATTTTTAGATACCACTTAATGTAAATAAAAATAGCGCAATTTTTTCATGATTTAACGACTTTTGTATCTAAGTTTCAAATCTTTGTCTGAAATTAGTTTTTTATTGATTCAGGGCCCAAATTCCTCTAGAATTCCCTTGGACAATGGTTTTTATATAGCTTATTTTTGTATTTTTTTAATGAATATTCTATTTGTTATATTTTATTATGTTTTCGTTCTTCTCTTTAGTGGGTGTAGGTGTGGGTGTGAGTGTAAGTGTGCGATGATCGTGGTGTGAAATTTAATATTTTTTTTATTGTTTTTTAAGATTGTGTGGGTGGATTTTCATTATCTAGAAACTATACCAGACAAGATTTTATTTGACGTTTTTCTCACATTTTTTTTTAGGGTAAAAATTACAAGCACCCCCTGAGTTTTAGTAATATTATGTGAATACCCTCTAACTTTTTACAAACAACACAGAGACCTCTTGAGATTTGAAACTCATTGCAAAAAGACCCCTCCATCTCCTTTCCGTAAATGTTGCTAACGGAAAGTGATGATTTTATCCCAAAAAAATTTATTATTTTCACAACTGCCCTTCTCCAAATTTAATATAAAAAAAGCTAAAATTAAATTAAAAATTTTCATAAAAATCAAACAAAATTTGATTTACTACCCGACAAATTGATATAATTTAGTACCCCAAAAAATTGATTAATTGAATTTCAATATTAATTTTGATAACAATAAAAATTAATTCGACATAGTTAAATATTAATTTGAAAAAATTAAATGTCAATTTGATAAAATTAAATATTATTTTTTATTGATCAAATCTACACCAAATTGACCTTAGATTATATTTTTTTGGCATTATTATCAATTTATTTGGAACTAAATTTTTAAAAAAATTTGAACTAATCAATTTTTCAAAATTTTTTGTCAAATTTTTAACTTACTTTCATGTATTTTTATGTGAACCATAGATTTTTGAGTTTACCAAGTAGAGTTGAGCAATTCTCTTTAAAAAAAAGTGGGGGGGGGGGGGGGGGAACAATTAGTTTGGTTTAAATATGTCTGGTCGAACTTATCAAATGATATAGTAAGTGGGAAGACACTATGCAATAAAAAAATGTGTATTTAAATTTTTATGGGTGAAAATATAAATTTTTAAGTTTATACAACAAAAAAAAAATTATATTTTACGTCAATTTAATGTTGGTTTAATCAACACCAAATAATATTCAACATGAAATAAATCTTAGATTGTAAATTAATATATAATTTTATCAAAAATTGACATTTAATTTTGTCCAATTAATATTCAATTTTACTGAATTCATATCAAATTAATTTTTATTGTTATCGAATTAATATTAAAATTTATTTAATTAATTTTTTGGTACTAAATCAAATCTTATTTCATTTTATTATATTTTTAATTTTTTTGGGTACTAAATTTGGAGAAAGGCAGTTGTAAAAATAATAACTCTTTTAGGGATGAAATCATCACTTTCCGTAACAATGTTGACAAAAGAGAGACATAGGGGGTCTCTCTTTTACCTCTATATCTCTATGTCCATCTATTTTATTTTGTATACAGTTATAAATGGATATACATATACATGTATAATAATAGTATATATATGCATTGTCTGTGTTAGATGTGGATGGGGTCTCATTGTTATAGCAAGTGTTATCAGAATGGGTGTTTCTATTGTTATGTCAAAAGGCAAGGGGTGTGTCTATCATTAACATAATATGACTTGTATTTTGTTGTATGCAGTAACTATAGGTACAAAACATATCATCTTCTTCCAGAAGTAGATTTGGAGGTGGGAACAGAGAAGGATTTGGACGATTTGGAGGTGGAAACGGAAAAGGATTTGGAGGACATGAGATGTTGGATTTAAGGTTCATTGGAACACAATATAATTGTGGGAAGAAGGCATCAATAAGGATAGTGGAAACCCAAAAACCATCAAAAGGGAGATTGTATTTCAATTGTGAGAAGGGGGTGCAGGTTCTTTACTTGGTGTTATCCCCAGTTAACTATAATGCCTCCATGTGTTGAACATGATTATGTGGACTAGGACGAATTTTCAGCTCAGAAAGGGGTCATAATAACTCCTAGGACACACATGCAGTTTTGAAGGCCCTCATCGTTGCGGTGTTAGTTGTGTTTGTAATGCAACTATTTGATATGGTCATGTCTATGAGCAAGAACTAGAAATTCCAATGATGTAGTCTTATCTGTAATGTTAGATTGTGTTTTACCTATTATGTAGGAAGTGTGTATGCCCTATAAGTATGGTGTTGGAGTTGTGCCAAATATGTAATGAGCTGAAATCAAGATTATGAAATTTGTACTAGCTTTTGGAATTATGCTAACTATATAGTAGCTTCAATACATTGTAATAGCATCAATACAATAATTGTTTGTGTACATAGTAAAAACTGCCATTAGAATTTCAAAAAAAACACTAATAGGACTAATAAGTCAAAAAAGTCATGTGCGCCGTGTACATTACTATGTTAGTTATGTGCACCATTCACAAGTCAATATCCAAAATGTCATAAAAAAAAAAGGCATCATTCACATTTCTATGCTACCTATGTGCACCATTCACAAGTCAATATCTAAAATATCATACAAAAAAAGGCATCATTCACATTCCAGAAGAAGTCAACTTCCATTCACATCTACCCTTACACTGGCCTGAGTGTCTACCCCTTCACTGGCCTGAGTGTCTGCCCCAATTCCCTAAACAGGATTATCAATTCCTTCTTGTGATATAGAAATTCCAGATTCACCAGCTTGAGAGCATTGTTGTGATTGTGGTGTTCGTACAGTTTGCTGCATACATAAATACATAAACATAAAAAAATGTTGGACCAAAATTTTCATTTGTTATGGACATAATTAAAAATTACCTGAGCTGCACCTTTTCCTTTAACAGATGCCCTTTGGCAAGTTCGTTTATTGTGACCTAGTTGCTTGCAAATCTGACACCTAATTGTCAGCCCCCTTCTCATTTCATTTGTGTCAGCTGCTGGTTCATTTGTAGCTCTTCTTCGATTATTTCGAGGCCTTCCAGGTAACCTGCGTAAAGGTGGTGGATGGAGAGTTTCTCTAGTTGGAGCCCATATCTTATGGTTAATAATTGGATGTATGATATCCCCATGAACCAACATATATTTTTCCTTTATGAAATAAGCATCACAAAACATCTCAATATTCTCCCTTTGAGAACTTATTGTTGTTGCTGCATGAACACAGGGGACTCCAATAATCTGCCATTCTACGCAAGCACATTCCTTGGTGGTTAAATTGACAGGGTATGTTATCTCCTTGTGACAAATATCAAACTCCAAGTTTCCAGCCCAAAGCACATTACACTGCATGCTTTTCTTTACCACCTCGTTCAATTTTTGTCTAATATTATTCTTTGTAAGAAAACCTCCCCAAAGACTCCCCTTCATTTTTTTTTGTGCAACCTCACCATTAACTTGCACCTTATTCTCACTAACAATGTCAGAACTGATTTCTGTCTTTGTAAACCAACCCATTGTTAAATGACTCACACAAATTATTAGTTATGTGGTCACTCTTAACAGTATGGTCAAATGTGTGCCTAGCCCATGTGTGTACAGGAATATTCATTAGCCAATCATATGCATTACAATTCAAATCTTTCATTTTATCCATGGTTTCCCTAAACTCCATCTCAGTATAAGCCCTAACTGCCTTCCAAAAATAAATCCTAAGTAGTAACCCTGGGAATTTGAGCTTAGAGTTGTTATACAGATGCTTACAACATCTTCTATATTTATTTTCAGGAAACACTTTCTCAAACACTTTATCTAATCTCTAGAGTGTCACCCCAACCAAAACAAGAAACAAGAAACAATAAAGACAAATCAAAAAAGACATTAAAATGAAACTAAATGGCTAAGAAATTACAAGTTAGAAGCATACCTTCTGGTTGTCTGAGATAAAGGTCCAAGATTTGGTCCTATCCACTGCTCCAATGACACCACGTAGATTTTGAAGAAACCATCCCCAACTTTCTGTCCTTTCACTTTCAATCACTCCATATGCCACTGGAAACAAACCTTTATTCCCATCAAGAGCCACTGCAGCCACTTGAACTCCATCAAATTCACCTTTTAGGTGACAACCATCAACCCCAATAAAAGTTCTGCAACCTGCCCTAAAATCATTTTTCAGTGTAGCAAAAGAAATGAAGATTCTCTTGAACAATGGGTTATCACTTCCAAGGTTACTCTTCCTTACTTCCCTAACATATGCTGGTAGTAATCCAAAATATTTTCCATGATGACCCTCTATTTCTTCTATAGCCCTCTTTTTAGCCCTATATAACTGACTAGGGTTGACCTCAATCTCCCACTTATCCTACAATTCATATTGTCAAGTTTCTAGCATCGCTGGGTTGTTTTTTTTATCTCATTTCTAAAATTTTTACCAATCCAAGTAAAGTTTGCTTCAAGCACCCTCCTATACCTGACACAATTGTGATCTTTACTATAAGTCTTTACTTTAAAAGTAGGCTGATCCGGTAAAGGAGATGCATGAATCCTCCACTGGCAAACCTCAGCAATGCACTCAACAGTAACTCTAGTCCTCTCATTTTTTTCCTTATTACTTTTATCCCTATCTTTATTATATAATTCTTCAATGCATTTCTAAACAAGTCAACATTTCCAAACAACATCCCCACACAAAAGTCCCAATTAGTGTTTCCATCTTTAGGAACATTAAACTCCACTCCAAATCTTGAAGTATCACTGACATTGCACTTTCTTTTCCTACCCCTTCTCTGTGTTTTATCCACTTCAACCTCAAGTTCCTCAGAATCTATACTACTAACAATCCTTCATCCCCTGATTGATAATCTAAAAATCCATCATCACTGTTTTTATCTAATTGTGTGTTGATGGTATCATCATTGTACTCATAACTAACATTGGGGCATCATCACCATCAACTATCTAGTCATCATCCTCAGAACTGAAACCATTAACACTATCATCATTCACTTCATCAACTTCATGCCTTTTTTCATCACTGTCATCATTTTCACCACTGCCACCTATATGTTCATCCTCATTTACATAATCAAATTCATGTCTATTTGCATCCCTGTCATCATTTTCAACATTAGGCTCTTCACCTATTCCTACATCTGGAGGAGGTGGGAGTCTCACCTGAGACCCAACTTCAACATTCACAAATACAGGAATCTCCTTACAATTTCTATACAAAGAAAACATTTCTTGTAACTGTTCATCGCCATCAAGTACAAGTTTTCCACTACCATCTAGCCTATCAACTTTAATAGCAATCATTAGCTTCAATAAACTATCACCCATAAAAACATTGGTAACTTCTGCAACTAGACACACACACGGGTGTATACATCTTATTTGGTTCATTTTCCTTTATTTATTGTAGGTATTTCTAGAGTAACTTGGAACAAAGGAAGTTGTATGGCCAGGTAACATGATTGAATTAGTTAAGAGTAATTTTTTCAAGTTATAGATCATACCAACTTGATAGGAGTACTGTATGGGTTTACATTTTTTAACTTACTAGATCCATTTGCTAGAGACCTTGCCTTGACGAGAAATATGAGATTTTTTCACCTATGTAGTACATTCCAAATCCGCCACCGCCAAATTAATGATCAATATTGTGAAAGCTGTTAGAATATAAATTGGTTAGTCGATTAGACAAAAAATTACTGGATTCATCTAAATAGTACAAAAAATTTCAAATTTTAGGATTGGCTGAAGGGTGACATTATTCTGACATTTCATAAGAATAAATATTAGTATTGGATTTGTATGAATTTGAACAAACATAAAAATTTATAACTTTCTTTCTAACCTATATCTAAAATGTAAAAAATTATTTTTTAAATATTTATTATGTATTTCCCCTCATGCAAAAAAAATAAAATAAAAATAGTATCAATATATAATTTAAAGCTATTCACTTGCATTCTGTCGACTAGCTGCATCCCATAGTATCCTAAAGTCTGCCGCCAACCTTCCCAACTTGGCAACAAATTAACTTCATATATTGAGAGCATACACCGAGGACATTGGCTGATATACCCACGTTTCTATTCCAAATTCTTGCCTGAATGATTAGGGGTACCCTTGCTCTAATATGTGTGCCGTCTAATGCTCCTTTGCAATGGTACAACTCAATAATAAACTCGAAATGTTCAGTTCCATAGTGTATGGTAATTGCAAATGGATTAGAAAGTGTAGAGACCAAATACCTTATATCATCTCCATTTGTTATGTGTTGTCGTTCGGGACTGGTTTAGGTCTCTTCAACAACAAACGATGCAATTTTTTAGTAGTCATATGAATGGCGTTGAAATGTGTTCTATTTTCAAGGTCGTAGATGAATTCAATATGAGAGTTTTTTATTTGACTGTTGAGTTAGCTCTTCATCAAGTGCTATAACTTGGTGTATTGTTGAGTGACATTCACGAAACTTATCTATTAGATACTAAGTGATGTGGTCATGTTATTGGTTATGATTCTAGCTTAGAAAAAAATATAATTTATTTTTTGTTCCAATTTTTTTGGTCCACAGTGGGAGTATTGTGCAATTTGTGCTTAGATGATATAATTGGATGGGGAGGTACTGTAACATAAGCCAAAAATTACTAATAAATATATGTTCATCTTTTAGTCAAACAAATGTTCAATGACCACACTAAAAGTATTACTTATGCTGTCCAATTAAAAAATAGCACTCTTTTTGCCCATTTATTATAAAAATGAAAAATTAACAAATATGTGTAACTTTAATCTCAAGTTTAGATTGAATTGTTCCAGATAAAGAAGTCAATGGATAAAACTAGATATGGTACCATAGAGTGAGACTGCAATGCTGTGATAACTATTATCGAACTCAATTATGTTATTTTATTTTATTTTTTACATTTGATTAAGAACTTGAGCCATGTATAATTTCATTCATTCAAATATAATGTATTTCTAAGTAAAGGAAATGTCATGTACATCCAAATAACGAATTTGAATGAAAAATGTCTTAATTGATTCAAACAAGTCACGGAAAAAGGCTGAGGCTGTGATATTGATCTCAATATCTAAATTAGTAATATCATACAAACTATAATTGAACATAATTCACGTGCAACGCACGTGTGCATCAATTAGTTTTATAAAATATAAAAATATCCCTAAAGTTTTTACAATTTTTTAGTTGGGGCAAATTTTAGAATTTTTTTAAAAAATTCAAAACTTGGAGTTGACCCCAAAGTAGTTTCACAACAACGATAGTAAGGTATGCATATAAAAAACGAATTAAACTAATGTAACATCATGGGTCTATTTGTCTCAGCTAATTTTATTATATGCACGTAAATGAATAAACCCACATAATGTAGAAAGCTTAAACCAATTTCTTATCGCAAAGATAATAGGTTCTATTTTGCAATGACTTTACTAATTCCTCGCACACAAACCAAAAAAATAATGATTTCTCTGAAAATATTATAAAAATCCAACATAATCAAGAAACCGTAGTGGCGCAAAACTACCTTACACATATGCTTGAAACTATGAAATAATAGCCCTGCTTTCAAAATTCTCTCTGTCATGTACTTCTCTGTCATGCGTGCTGCATCAAATAACATCCATAGACGACCGAAACTGAACACAAAACTATAGAACTACAATTATCAAATGTATAATTCAATTGGCAAAGCTAGCAATGTTCACGACACGTACCTAAAAATGGTGTTTTCATTAGCTACTTCCCTCCACTTTTGTGACTATGAGCACACCTCCTTGTCGTCTTATTTTTGTGTCCTTGATTTTCAACGACCCTTACAATCCACTTAGGCTTTCCAATTGAGAACATAATGTATCCCATAGAAATCCCAAATATAAATCCACATCCATACCCCATGAACATCACTTTCCAATCAAATCGGAACTCCAAAGAATCGTCTTCTTGAAATATCAGCGGCGGAGGTGGTGGTGCCTCGTAGTTGCTGCATTTGTTTAACAATGGAAATCCACACAACCCAGAATTGCCAGCATATGAATCCTCTGGAAATGTGTTGAATTGGTTGCCTTGAGGTATGGGTCCTGTTAGTTGGTTGTTCGAAAGGTGTAGTACAGCAAGAGACAGCAAAGCTGTTAGGTGTCGAGGAATCTCCCCAACAAGCTTGTTTGAAGAGAGGTCTAGCCCTTCAAGCATCCTCATATCCCCAAGGGATGCTGGGATATGACCCGTAAGCTTGTTATGAGATAAGTTCAGGCCACGAAGTGAATTTAGATTTCCGATAAACTCAGGAATCTCCCCTTCGAAGTTGTTCCTCGATAAATCGATAATTGTCAAGATGGTCAGAGCTCTCCCCATTTCAATCGTTGATCCTTTGATTGTGACAATGTAGGAATCATAACAATAGTAACGGTGGATATATTCACTTCTCATGTATTCTAGCTTGGATTCGCCTTCATCAATATTCATCATAGCCTTAAAACTTTTGAAGTATTTTGCAGGCAACGGTCCATTGAAATCATTATATGAAATGTCAAAGACACGCATACTAATGAGGGGAAACTGAGTCATGGAAGTAGCTATGGGTCCATGAAATCGATTAGATCGTAAAATAAGAACTTGCAGTAAAGGAAGATTTTCCAACCAGTACGGAAATGTACCACTTATCTTGTTGTTTCCAAGATCCAAAATTTTCAGAGCTCCACAATTGATCAAGGATTGTGGTGTTGGCCCCATCAAGGTATTACCATTAAACCTAAACTCTCCAAGCTACAACCCTTTTCAAATGTGTTAGGAATGTTGCCGTAAAAGTTGTTCTTCTGAAGTTGAAGCACTAAAAGATAGTTACTCAAGTTTCCCAAACATCGCGGAATTGCACCAATCAAGTTGTTACTGGACAAATCAAGAACTCGAAGATTTTTTGCACTGCAAACCAGTTCTGGGATCTCTCCGCTTAATCGATTGTCTGAGATCGAATAAAGAAATACAGAGAATGGAGGAAGAGGAAGTGGTCCTTGAAGCAAGTTGGATTGAAGGTTGAGATATTGTAATTTCTTCCATGGAAGTCTCTCTAAGCTTGTCAGTGAATTATTTGAATGGTCGAGGTATGTCAATGAATGGGGTCTAAATTCATAAATCGGGCCAGTGAATTGATTAAAACTAAGGTCTAAGAGTTCTAAGGCTGATAGGTTATATAGCCAAGATGGAATTGCCCCATTGAACAAGTTTTCGGAGAGGCTAAGCCATGCCAGATTTGAAAGGCCATTCACTTGCGAAGGTAGAGGACCTGAGATTTGATTATACGACATGTACATGTCAGAGAAAACGATATAACACAATGTCCATAGTAACCTTATATCTATATAATAAATTAGCTTGAATTTTTATTCTCTTTACATTTTTCCCTCAAAAAAATTACGTCACTCAATTGTATCACATGTTCAATCATTTAATATTTGGTTAATTTGTAATTTAGCACAATTTTTATTTGATACATTATTCATACACGATAATGTACACATGCTCAAAAAAATTTGTCGAGTTATGTATTTTGATAAAATTTTGATGCTATTTTTAAGAAAATAATAGGTAGAAATTAATTTTAAATGATGTAAGTAAAAAATTAATTTTAAATGATATAAGAAGATAAATTAATTTTTAATTTGGTATTATTTTTTTAGAAAAATGACGCACCAATGACCATTTAACCAACCAAAGATATAACATGTTTGCCTAAAACAAATTTATGTCTATACTACTAATAAAAGTGACTAAAGGAGGAAAATTTTTGATTCTCTTATTTGTCGTTTAGCAATCTTACAATGTCCACTTTATCCTTATTTCAAGAATTTTCATACATTTATTTGTTGCATTAATTCAAGCAATAAAGTAATTGTTTGACTTTTGATTATCATCTTTACAAACATTACAAATCTGATCCAAATTCGATTAGATTGTCCGATAAATTTTATTTTTGACAGTATATATATATATGTTAAAATAGAAATCTGTTTTTATCCGAATAACTTAATTAGAGAGAATTTTATCATTTTACACATGAAGTTCGACACAATTTTATCAAATTACCACAAAAGTACCCAATATGTTTGTATATAGATGTATACGTAGGGCATCATACAAAAACAAATCATTTATCCCTTTTTACGTGACTTCTACTGTTCATCCAAATAAGTTCCTCCTATATTTAGCTAAATGGGAAGAACTTTAAAAGACTAGCCAGTTGTGTTTGTGTTGCATTTGCAAATAATGGTGAAATCAGACCACTTAAATAACAATATTATTAAAGTGACCAAATTTTGAGATCAAATTTGAAGCTCAATGACATGGCAGTTGATTATTTGAAGTTTTTATTGGGGTCCAAATGATATGATACCAATCAAAAAAGCTCAAGTCAACTGTCATGTCATTTGGGCTCCAAATTTGATCCCAAAATTTGGTTAGTGTAATATTACTCCTTAAATAATTTATATGTCCAAGGTTCGAAAGGGTAGACGGAACCATACCAATGAAATTGTTAGACGAGAGCGATAAGCTAACAATTTGCGTAAGATTGCCGATCGATGCTGGGATATGACCTGAAAATCTGCATCTGCCAATGTTCAAAACATTAAGGGACTTGAGATTGCCAATCGATTCAGGTAGTTCTCCAGAAAAATTTGTCATATGAAGACCCAAGAACTGAAGAGGACTCTTGGAGTTAAATTTTGGAAAATAACCACGGAGAGCCATATTCATTCCTAGTCTTAGCACTTCCAAATTCGGTAAGTGGAATAGTTTGTTAGGGAATTGTCCCTCAAATCCACAATTAAAGAGACTGAGACGTCTTAAAGATGTCAGGTTCAACAATGAAATGGGTATCACTGAAGAGATGTTTACGTCATCAAGATAAAGTTCTCTTATCTTGGTTAAGTTCTGAACAAGGAATTTGAAACCGAGTCCCTCGAATCTTAATTGATTGGATGACAAATCAAGTGAAACCAGACTAGACATGTTCGAGATTTCTAATGGGATTTGACCCGAGAATTTAGAGGAAGAGAGGTTGAGATGTGTCAATATGGAGAACTGACAAAATGACGATGAAACCAGAGAAGAATCAAAGTTGTTGTAAGCAAGATTGAGCCTTTGGATGCGAGGAAGGAGAAAGAGGGTGTTGTTGGGATGGATGGTGCCATTTAGCCAGCTGCAGCTGAGGTCGAGACTAATCACATTGCCCGTTGTCCGATCACAGTCAACCCCATCCCATGAGCAGCAATCAGTACCTTCCTTCCAAGATAAGAGTTTTGGATGAGAGTTCATATCACAGAAAGACGAAGCAGATTTGTTAAAGGAAAACTGTTCCTTGAATTGGAGCAACAAGGAACTCTGGTCTTGAGGGCACAGTTGTGCATGCAAAGAAGTTAATTGGATAAAGGAGAGAACAGAGAAGAGGTGAAAGAGATGAATGTGATTGAGCCATGTTAAAGGGGCCATCTTTCTTACTGAAATCACAAAGGGAGATAGTTGAATATATAGTGCAGTAGAGTTGAATATTCTATACAAAAATACAACTGAATTCCTGTCCCACCCAAAATTATAGTTGATTGAGGTGGTCAACCAATGTGGTTGAAGTGGTCAATCCAAAAGGGACTTCTTGTTGTGATCTTGGGCACCATTGCTAAGGCAGCATGAAGCAATCAAAACTCAAAAAATAGGGTAATGAAATATTTATATAATCAGCTTAGACTTTGTGTGTTTGTGGAGACAATAAGGAATCAATAGAACAGCTGTATAATCACTCCGTTAAAATCAAATTGTTAGGAGGTAGACCAAGTTCTAGAAATAGACAAGTAACCTGAGTGAGAGGCAACAGGAAGGCTAGGTGCATGGACATGACAGAAGTTTCCACATGCGTACTGAGAATGAAATATGACCAACTTTTTGTCTTTGTTTAATACAGCTTCTTCGTTTTGGACCCTCCCTCTCTCTGTCCCCCTCTCTCTCTTTAATACAGCTTGTTCGTTTTAGAATCTCTCTGTGGTTCGTACAAAAAAAGGAAGAAAACTGCCTTTCTACCATGATTTCAACTGCTTTTTCGGTGCAAATAAAGCATACATCCAAGTCGATAATGACCTCACCTGTAGAGAGGGAAAAGGAACAATAATAACCCATAAGGTAACGAAGAGAAGATAATTTTATAGTTACTATCGGTCTTAATTCAAGTCTCATAAAAAAAGGACTCCTATTTAAAAAAAGGATCAACACTGATGATCAAGGTGCAGATACTTATATTACATAGACTAAGGTGCAGATTCGGTGAACGAGTTGACTGTTATAGTGCCCACAAGTGAAAGTGATAGTCTCGTGGTTTTTGGTGTAGTGAAATTGGGAGTGGACCCAAGACAGATGACAAGGAAGACATTTCTCTTATATATCTCCGAAAGTTTCGGCATGCATAATTACTTGACCCAACTTTTTTGTCTTCATATAATACATCTCTCTCTCTCTCTTCCCTTCTCCCCCTCCCTCTCTCTCCTGCGTGTGCGGAGGAAAAAGGAGGAAAGGTGACCTGCTACTATGATTTCAACTGGATTTACATTTCAAACCAGGTAGGCGCAAAACTTATACACAAGGATACATGCGTCCAATCCAGCTGTAGAATGACTCATCTGTAAAGACTAAAAAGGACGATGAGCAATGCTATTGGGATTTTATTTGGAGATTTAATTTGGAGACTTAATGATGTGATTTTAATGTAATTATTAGATTAGTTGTAAGTTCTAATATTAAATGGAGTCCACATGATTATATTAAATTAGGTCCCTAGATTAGGTCTCCAAATTAGGTTCAAATAGCATTTTTCAAGGATTAATGATAAAGCAATGCTATTGAGACATAATTTATGGAGATAAATTCAGGACAAAATGAGTTATCACAAATAATATAATAATAAATTCATTAATGTTACTATAGGACCTATCATTAAATACATTTCACTATCATTTCATTGGTGACAACTCATTATGTTCCCAAATTATGTCCTTCAATTATGTTCCAATTGTATTAGTGTTAATGATAACGCGTCAAGTCCCTCGGAGAGGAAGGTTTCAAAGCTTGTCTTAAATTCAAGTCTCGCACCATAATTTTGAGGTAACTGATTTACAATGCATAATTTATAAATGATTGAGCACATTTCAAGTTTATGTGTAATAACACATCAAAAGTACACATAATTATGACAAAAAAAAAAAAAAGATAGAGGAGCAATGTGGAGATCCTAAAATGGCTTAGATTTACAATAACGTGAGAAAATCAACAAATTGGAGCATATGCCTTTGATTAGCTGATAATCTGTTTCCAATTACGTTTTGATTCGTGTGGTATAATAGGTTTTTGGGGCAATTTGTTTACACATACATGGTATTGAGATATGCTAAAGAATTTGACTTCAACAATACGAAGAATCACATTTTGCATTTTGAAAAATTTTTAAATTTTTAATTTAAACCTTCAAAGATTAATTTTTTTACCCTGCACCCTCGATGTTATAAAATGATTGTAATGTGGTCTCACACTAATTCTCATTCATGTTTCCGTCAAATTCATCTATATGTGTCATGCAACAGGATTTGATGGAAATAACAACGGAAGTTATTGTTCAAGTCACATTAATTTCATTGTATTGAGGATTAAATATAATGAAATTAATCTTTGAAACTGCAGATCAGAAATTTAAAAATTTTTAAGGTATAAAGTGTGAATTGTCAAAATATTTAAACTCTGTCGACATTAAATTCTCTAGTTAAGTTCCGAACAAGCAATTTGAAACCTTATCTCCAATGTTTGGATGGAAAAAATCTGAGAAT